CACAGGCCGGGCTTGAGGACCCTCACCCCCTGCAGTGCATGAATGTCGTGCACAGGGCCTCTAGTATTTTATAACATGGTATGTAAAACCCTCAAAATCTGGTTCCAAACAACCTTCCCACTTCATCTCCAGTGATTGCTACACACAGGCAATGCTCAGCTCACACAGAAAAAGCCAGTGTTGTGTCAAAGCCTTACTTTTGTTGTGTTTGAATGTACTTTGAATGTACATGTGATCTCCCGAATCTGAAGAACTGGGCTCAACCTTTGTGGTCAGCTCAAATGCCCCCTCCTCCACGAAGACTTCTCCACTCCCTGGGCAAGTCAGTGGTTTTCCCCTCTGGGCTCCCACTACAGCATCTGTATTCACTGACTCATTTGTTCATTTAACAGGCATTTTCTGGGCATATTCTACTATCAACCAATCACGTGCAAAGTCTCAAGGAACCAATGTGGGATCAAAGGCAGAAAATGCATGAAGATCACAGATGGGAAAAGGAAATAGACCTTATCTGGAAATCGTATAAAAGGTTGTTACTCACTGCCATGAGTTTACCATAAGGGATGCTAACCCAGCCTGGGGGTTGGAGAGCCTTCCACAAGGAACGGACACTTGAGGTGAGAGTGAAGTAGGAGTTATCACCAGATGAAGGAGATGCAACATAGGTTCCAGGCCTGGGGACAACCGGAGGTAGGAGGAAACACAATACTCTTTGAGGACTAGAAGGCCAGGGTGTTTAATAGAAGCAGCAAGGGAATGGAGAGAGAAGAGGCACTTACACCATTCATTATGAGTGTCTGTTTGTGGGCTGTGTCATCCCTGCCTCACGCTCCCAGAATGAGCTCCTCAAAAGTAAGGATCATGTGTCACTGAAAATCATACCCACCCGGCACTTAGCACGATGCAAATGAACAAAATTAATGCATCCACTTGATGGATGAGAGAGTTGAGGCTCAGAAAGGTTGAATAAGTTGCCTAAGATCCCAGGGCAAGGCTGGCAGAGGCTGCACAGTAACTAGAATATGCACCTACCATTCCTCAAGTATGTTTCTTATAAACTGGCACAAAGCAACCCCCCTACTTTTTATCTTGAAAACTCACGTTTTTCTGGGAGTTCTTTTTCAAAGGGCTCTATAACAAAAAATAAAGCATAAAGCCAGTTACTGGTGTGTGTGTGTGTGTGTGTGTGTGTGTGTGTGTGTGTGTAGGGAGAGGGGGAAATGAGAGAGTGAGAGAGGGAGGGAGAGCATAGGACGCTTTTTATAATGGCCCGAAATGATGCGGAGTGGGGTGGGGGTGTGTGTGAGAATAAGACGCTCTCAGTGATGCTGAGTAAAGACCATCCTTACTGACCCTGAATGTCCTGAGCAAAACGACTCTGGGTTTGGACTCTTCACCTGGGTGAGCGGGATCTCTTGCCTCCCGCTTCCCGAACCTCTCCGCACTTCCAGCCGGGACCGGTGGTGTGGGAAACAGCCCGATTTCCCGTCTCTCCTGCAGATCCCTGGGAGAGGAGGCAACCTCATCGCGGGAGGCATCCTCCAGGCCCAGACATTCATCTCTGTCCATTTCAAGGCCCCGAGCCTGAGCCGTATATAACCAAGTACTGCGCCTACAACGAAGGGCACGGTGGCTTTTCTGCGTGTTTTATTCACGAATCTTGAGAAAAATCTGGCTCTGGGGCTGCGATCAAGATCCTGATTTGAGACTGGTTCAGAAATTGGAGTTGAGGCTTCGTTTGGCAGGAAAGAGAGGAGGTGAGCGGGTGTGGGCGCAGCTCTTGTGAGGATTACGGCGGAGGCTGTGGACCGCGGCGCCGCTCGCCGGGGCTGCAGCCATTGCACAACGAGCACCCCACATTCAACAGGAGGGACCGCGGGAGCGGACCTCTGAGCCCCCGCAGCCGCCGCAGCCCGTGCCCCCGCGCCCCCAGTGCCCGCCGCACCATGGCCAAGGAAGGCGTGGAAAAGGCGGAAGAGACGGAGCAAATGATCGAGAAGGAGACAGGCAAGGAGCCTGCGGAGGGCGGCGGCGGCGGCTCGCACCGACTCGGGGACACCCAGGAGATGCGCGCTGTGGTGCTCGCAGGCTTCGGGGGGCTCAACAAGCTGCGAGTCTCCAGGAAGGCCATGCCCGAGCCGCAGGACGGCGAGCTCAAGATCCGCGTCAAAGCCTGGTCCAGTATCCGCGCCTTTCTCGCTTTCTCTCTGTGCGCGCTCGGCGCTCCCGGGAGGCGGTGGCGGAGCCCGGTGGGGCCATGGGCCGGGGGACCCTGCCGCGGGCGCCCCACTCCATGCCCTGACCCTGGTCTCAGAGCCTCTTTGCGTCCGCCGCTGATGCTGGGAGATGCTGAGAGGTGCTCTTTCTCTTTCCCAAGCCAGATCAGGGTGACCAGGGAGACTGTGAGCTCCCAGGAGGGACGCGAGG